GGGGGGGGGTGACTGACGTGGTGTGGGAGGTTGTGGAGGGATTAGGGCAATCTGTTTGCCAGCATCGATCACAAGTCGTGCTGCTGCCTCAACGAGGACGACGCGGCACCGCTGGCCAACGTGCTGACGGTCGAGCCGACCGATGCTGTGCTGCGGTCAGACTGCGATGAGCAGCTGCTGATCACGGTGGCGTTTACCAGCAAGGTCAAGCTCCATTCGATTGTGATGGCATCAGGCGCGGCCAATGCGCCGTCGCACGTCAAGATCTTTGTCAACATGCCCTCGCTGAGCTTCGACGACGCAGAGGACGCCGAGCCGGTGCAGGAGCTGGATCTCGACGCCAAGGCTGTCGCCGCCGGGGACGCCATCCCTCTCGAGTTTGTGCGGTTCCAGAACGTGCGGAGCCTGACGCTGTTCATCGACGCCAACGCTGCAGACGACGACGTGACGGAGCTCTCGCACCTCGGCTTTATCGGGAGCTCGACCGACGGCATGGACATGAGCGAGCTCAAGGCGGTCGGCTGAGGCTCGTAGACAGGGCGAGTGGCCGAGCAGCTACTCGCTGTGTCGGCCCCCCTGTCGCAGGATCCGCAACCCCCCCCCCCCCCCCCCCCCCACCTCTCCCTCCGCTCATGCGTCTGCCAGACGTCGCCATGACGCGCCTGCCTTTATCGATGAGCTCCAGCTCTGTCGCGGGCACGGTGCCGAAGCCAAGCGGAATTAGTGGTGATAACAAAACAGCAATACGAGTGTGTGGGGGCACGCGTGGTGGTGGTGGTGGTGGTTTGTGGGCGGGGCGGGGAGCGCGGGCAGCCGGCAGTCGACCAACGGGCAGCGGCATCGGCAGCTGGCTACGGGAGAGGGGAGGAAAGCGAGGGGGGGGGTTGGGACCTCTCACTCGACTCTTGCTCCTTACCCTGCACCCAGCCGTAAGTCCAGGGCACAGGTCTGTTGTTGGTGACAGACTTGTACTGCTGTTGCTGCTGGTACTGTTGCTGCTACTGTTGCTACTGCTGCTATACTAGGTCGACAAGGTCTACCACCAGGTGGTATGGAGCGAAACCAAGGGTCCGAGCTGGCGGCGCTAAGGGCGGCGGTGGCCCGACTGGAGAGCCAACTCCGGGCAGAGCCGAGCGCGGGGAGAACGGCGGAAGTATGGTGGGTGCGGTGGGCGTGACGGGTGTGGCGGACGTGCGCGGCGCGACAAGCTCGACGGCAACAGCGGCAATGTCGGCGACGTTGGTCGAGCTGAGGGCCGAGACGCAGCGGAATTTGACGGTGTGTGCCGAGCTGGAGGCCAAAATCGCGCGCGAGCACGAGTCGCAGGCCAAGATTGCCGCTATCAACGAGCAGCTGCGGGCCGACATTGCGGCGACAAACGCGCTGCTGGCGTCCAAGGCGTCGCAGCTTCAGAGCGAGCTGAACTCGGCCGCACAGAGTACGCAGGCGATGGAGGAGACCAAAGCCCAGCTGGAGCGCGAGCTGGCAGTGCTGAACGCGCGGTTGGATGAGCAGCGGGCAGCGCAGGCGGCACAGGCGGCGCATGTGGCGGCGCCAGGTCCGGCGGGAGCGCAGCTGTTTGCGCACCACGGACAGCAGCAAGGCGTCGGGGTGGCGCCCGAGACAGCGGCACAGGACATGGCGGCCAAGCTGGCTGCGATCGATGAGCTTCGGGCGCAGGTGCTGGCGTCGTATGCGGCACCCGCAATGGTACCAAGTCCGCATGTGGCTGGCCCGCAGGCGCCGATGGCGCAACCGGGCTGGCCCGCACAGCCGGGTGCCGGGTGGCAAGGCGGGTGGCAGGGCGGATATGCAGTGGCGCAGCCGGCGGCGGCGCCGCGGCCGGCGCGGCCGTCGCTGCTGGATCGCGACGACCTGCGAGTCTCGCGGCAGCTGCTCGAGTCGCGGACTAGGGTGTTGGAGCACGGACTGGGTGGCGGGCCGCGGCCGTCACCGGCGCCGCGGACGCTCCTGCCATCATCGTCGCGCAGCGGGCACAGGCCACACTCGCCGCCGCGCCGGCCGCGGCTTGGCCTCAATCCGCCGCTCGGCTCGGTGACAACCAAGGAGTCGTCGGCGTCGATCCGGGCCAAACGACTGCTCCCGTCGGCGCTGCTCCGGGCGTCGTACGAGGCCATGCCGTCGGAGCGCTCACGGCTCAAGCCTTAACAGGATTTACCCGCCACAAAGTACAGTTACCGATGCGGCTAGCAGGTGGGGAGAACGCCCGAGTGGGGCGAGACATCGAGCGAGACGACAGCGGGAGTGCCTGTCGGCGTCGGGAGGCAGAGCGACGAGGCCGGCGTCTCGCGCCAAACGTCATGCGCGTAGCCGATCAAGTTGCCGGCGACCTCAAACGAGCCCGGCGTCCACCAGTACGAGACACCGTCGTAGCTTGCTTCGGGGTCTCTCTCGGCCGACACGGCAGGCGCGCCCTCGCAGAGATCCATGACGACTGCACCGGGAATGATGAGTGAGTCCGGTTGAGCATCAACAGGAATCCAAGCGCAGGGAAACATACTCCGAACATGACCATTGGCATGCTCATACTGTTCGGCAAGACAGGCTTTGATCCGCTGCCATAGCCACATCAGTGACCGCGATGCCGCGACTCTGACCTCAAACAGAACGACTTGGCGAGCAGGAGCGCAGCCAACGATGCGTAGTGGAAAGGCAATGACAGGAGCCACAGCCGCCGCCGCTGCCGCTGCTGCCGCCTCCGCCGCGGCAGTCTCAGCCCATCCAGGCGGCGGAGGTGGAGGAGCAGGACCAGTACATGTAAACGGCAGAGGTGGCGGAGGTGGCGATGATGACATGATGGAGAATGAGGTTGAGGCGACCTGATGGGGAGCGGGGGAGGGTGAGAGTTGGCGTGGAAGCGTCAGGGCGAGTGGCACAGCTCTCGGCGCAACTGGTCGGAGAGCTTTGTCTGTCTGTGTAGCTCATACTGGCGGGAGTGTTTGCGAGTGGGTGGTCGTGGTGAAGGCCTTGTTGTGCTCTGAGTCCAGTTGACCTGTGCTTTGCTGTGGTTGTGGGGCGAAAATGGAAGGCGATTCGATTTCGAGTCTCGTTGTGGAGGATGGACTGTGGGGCGGGACCGACGGATCGGCTGACGATAGCATGGCGGATGGTGATGGTGGCCAAGTGGCGAGGCCGATAAGGTACAAACCTGGAGTTGTGGTGCTGAGGGAGATTGCGAGGCATCAAAGAAGCACCGAGCTGCTGATCGAGAAGCTGCCGTTCCAGCGACTTGTCCGCGAAATCGCGCAGGATATCAGCCCTGATTTCAAGTTCCAGTCCTCAGCCGTGCTTGCGCTGCAAGAGGCTTCCGAGGCGTACCTGACTGCGCTGTTTGAGGACGCCAGCCTGGTGGCGATGATTGACAAGCGGGTGACCATCATGTCCGGCGATGTCCGCAAGGCGGTTTTGATGCGGAAACCGCCAGCAAGGCGATCGTCATGGTCGTCTGTGGCGGCATCGTCGTCTGTGGCGGCATCGTCGTCTGTGGTGGCATCGTCGTCTGTGGCGGCGGAGGCGGCGGGTGGCCTGGGAAACGATGCCCCGCTCCTGCTGCATGACGCCTTGGCGGCGTGCGGAGCTCAGATGGACGAGCGGGCCCGTGGGCATCTGGCAGCGCTGTGGCAAGCGCAGGACGAGCGGCTGGGTGTACTGTGTACCGCGTACACGGCTCAACCGGACATGGCCGAGCTGTACGACGGGCTGGTGCGGCTGCTGAGCATGTAGGCTGAGACGGATTTATTCGCGGTCGATTAAAGAGGCACGTGCGAGTCACATGGTGATGCTGCCCTCGCCTGTAACGCGGTCATAGGGGCAGCCGTTACACTTTGCGCGGGTACCGTAGTTAACGAGGCGGCAGCTGGGACATGTCCACATGTGGACCATGCCGTCGTCGTTCTTCTTGGGGTTCTTCTTGGCAACCACGGGCTTGTTGTCCATTGCTGTACGTGAGAGTCGTGTGGTGGAAACGCAAAGTAATTCAAAGGCCGAGGCCGATCTGGCTGGCTACCTGGCTGCTATCTCGGCGATTGTACCAAGGCCGGCTCGGCTGGGCTGGGTGATGCGTGATGGATGTCGCGATGTGTGGGTCACGAGGGAGATATGAGGAGGGTATATGCTGGACAGTCGCCGGTGGTGGATACAGGCAAGGGCAGTGTTGCCGAGTGCGAGGGAGAGTGTGGGCGTGGGAGAGAGGCACTTGTCGGACACGGGCGACAAGCTGTCGAGGGGACACATGAGGACAACGCGGCGGGCAAAGGTTCATGTGGGTGCACCCATGGAGCGCAGCCGTATGCGGAGGTCGACACAGTCACTGAGGCGACCGACCGCGCCGCGGCGGAAGACCCGCAAGCGCAGTAGCTCGAGCCGCGCAGCTGCAGCTGCATCTGTAGCAACACCAGGCACAACGAGAAGGCCGCGTGCCACAAGGCAGCTCTTGCCTCGGGCGACTACCGATGTCGGATGGCAACAGACTGGAGCGAGGTTGAGGTCCGAGTCTGGGTCTGAGTCTGGGTCGGAGAGATCTGCGAGGGCGTCGGCTGTGGCGCAGACGGGCAGCGGTGAGATCCGGCCCGGAAAGCTTGCTGATGGCGCGTCCACTGAGGGCCGCCAGCAAAAGCAGTCATCGCAGCCGGCGGTGTCCAAGCGCGGGCGGCCACTGGCCAAGGCGAGGGCAGAGTACAACAAGGCTGCGAGCTTGGTGCGGACGATGAGTCAACAGACCAGGGGCATTATGTATGGGTACTCGACCAACGAGCTGGCGATGGCGCAGCGACGCTGGGCAGCGGCCGCATTTGTGGCAGAGCTGGCATCTGTTGAACTCGCGGCCGCGGCGGCGTGGACCGAGATCAGCGGCTCAGGGCGGGCCAGCAGCAAAGCGCTCGTTCGATCACAGCGCCGGTACAAGACAGCGCAGGCGAGTGCGTGCGCCATGTTTTCGGCGCTGATAGTACTTGCCTCTGTGCCGGACGTGCCGACCGCCGACGCCGAGTGGGCGGTCCCGGAGCTCTCCGGCAGTCAACACGACCCGCGGCACGCCAAGATCCAGGTTCCGCGCTCGCAGGCTGCGATGCAAAAGTCAAGGGTAGCGGCGATGACTAAGCCACCAATGCCAGCAATCGTCGCTCTCCACGGCTTTGTTTACCGTGGCTCGCCGCTCATCGCGGTCGTGCTGCAAGGCTCGAGTCAGCGTAGCACGCAGCTGGTGGCGCTCGGCACGCACGCGGGCGAAATGTTGTTTCTCGGCAGGCTGCTGTTGAAGGAGATCAGCCTCGCTGCATGGCATGTGGTGCGCGAGGGCCAGCTCGATGACATGGACGAAGCAAGTAACTCGAGCGGGACTCTTGCTGCGGACAGCCACGAAGCAGCCGACGAGAGCGGGGACGAGAACGAGGGTGACAGCAGGAAGCGGCTCTTTGTATCACCGCGGCCAAAGTCGTCGCTGTATGGCGGTGTCAATCCGACCGATGCAGAGCTTCAGGCGCGCCGCGCTGACCAGACTGTCGGCGCCGACACATTTTGCCGCCCCGAGTGGAGCAGCATTGCGCTGGACGGATTTGTCTACCGCGGCCGGCCGCTCGAAGCGCAGTGGGCTGCGGTTCCTGGCGAGATGCGACTGGGCCACTGTCGCTTCTCCATCCGTGTCCCGGCCGAGACCACGGCTGGATTGTTCCGGCTTGAAGTGGGCTCGTTCCTTCTGACGGAGGACGAGTTGATGGCGGCTGCGCATGCGGTGGTGGCGGCCGGCCAGCAGCAGGACAGCGTTAGCGAGCACCCCCCGAGTCAAGGACAACTGCGGGTCGCAAGCGCAAGCGCGAGTCACACGCGCCAATCAGCGAGCAGCGACCGGTGCGCCGACGGCACAGGCTACAGTCGGCACCGCGGAAGAGTGTCAGCGACATTCCTGCCCTGCTTGTGCAGCTCTTTCCGGGCGCAACGCCGAGGAAGGACCCGCGCGATGATGTGGAGCAGGCGTCGCGGCAGTGGGCAGCGTCGCGACCGTCGCGGCGGACGGCGACCAAGATGAGTCGCATCGAGATGGAGACGCTTGTTGTTGGAGGTGTGCAGTTGCGCGCGGTTGTGAAGCGCGACTTTGCTCATCCAACCCGCGAGGGCATGGCGTACTTTGAGATCCGCGCCGATAAGGTTGTGTTGTTTGAGGGCTGGCTCACGCCCGAAGAGGTGTCATATGTGGGCTGGCGGCTGTGTGTGGAGGACGCAGGGCGGGCGATGCCTGGCAATGGAGGCGCGGCCCATGTTGCGCTGCTGGAGGCCATGTCAAACGTGGCACATAAGCTGGAGACTGTCAACCAAACGCGGACCACGGCGATACGGAGCAATGCTCGGCGGCACACGTTGTACTGGAAGCGGTTTGTGGAACGGGTTGAGGCTGCAGTGGCGCGCAAGATGCAAGAACGTACCGAGGCGAAGCGCGTGGTGAGGCAATGTGTGCCGACACAGCAGAGAGAGACGGCGACGCTGTTCAGGCCAGCGGCTGTGCAGCCTGCGAACGAGACGGTGGAGGACCTTGACAGCCGCGACTTTGTCTCGCCGTACCAAGGCGGCGAGCCCGCGTTTGATCCGCGCGACCGATCCGAGCAGAATGCACGTGCTGAGCAAGTCATGTTTGCAAAGCGGACGGGCAAGTACTCGCGTGCAGGACCCGTTGACACGCTCCCGGATGTATCCGGCTACCTGGTGAACGGGCAGCCGGTCGAGGTGGTGACCAAGACGTCGCGGTGCCATCCGATGAGCCCCGAGCTTGCCTATCACACTATTCGCGCTGGCACGCGGGAGTTCTCGGGATGGCTTTCTGTGGAAGAAGTGGCGTATGTGACGCACTGTCTTGTAGTCGAAGCGGCCGGCTCGCGGGCCATCCATCTTGTCTCGCTGGCTGCGCCGACCGGCGGCAGCTCAGGGCCCGGTGAGAAGCAGACGATGTCGACGCCGGTGCTGAGCACGTTCTCCGAGTATGATGGCCAGCCGCTGGCAGAGTGCGCGTCCAACCCGCGCGTCCGGCTTGGGCGACTCGAGAAGGCGCGCATTGCCGGCATCCGACTCAACGGCCGGGCTATCGGCGGTGGAAGTGGGCGCGCGGAGAGCCCGTTTGACCTCAGCGAATACGCCGGAGCGTTTTGGATCAGAGGTGAGCCGTTGACGATCTCAACGCGCATGACGGCGCCGCACCCAAGCAATCCGGAGTTTGCGTACAGAACGGTCCGATGCGGGCGGCGAACACTGTTCACCGGATGGGCGACCAATGACGAGGTGCTCTGGATCGCGCACAAGCAGGTGCAGCTTGCGGCCGAGGATGAGAAGCGGGCAAAGGCCAGGGCCGAGCGGGCGCAGCAGAAAAGCCGCGAGCGAGCGGCGCGGCGAGCGGCGCGGCGGGCAGCGCGTGCAGCGCGAGAGCGCGCCGATGTCAAGCAGGTGAAGGCACTGGCAGCGACGCTACAGCGGGCAGGGCTCGCATGCGCTGCAGCCGCCGAGATCGAGCTACAGCAGCAGGTGATTGATCGCGAAGCAGCGGCAGCATCAGCGCGCGCCGCATCGGTGGCGTTCAAGCGGGCGGCTTTGCGGAAGCGGGCGCGGTCACGGCCGGCGGCGCGCCGTGCCGCGTTGACGGAGGATGAATGTGGCGGTGCAGTAGACGAGGCTGTGCTCGTGCGCGTGATGGGCGAGATCGAAGCTCGGGCGAGCAAGCGTAGTGAGAGAAGGAGTTTGATGGGGTAATGAAGGCAAGGCTGGTGCGTCTGACCGCGGTGACGGAGGATGAATGTGGCGGTGCAGTAGGCGAGGCTGTGCTCGTGCGCGTGATGGGCGAGAGGAAAGCTAGAAAGAAAAGAAGTTGGATGAATGAAGACAAAACCGGCACAGCACACATCAGGAGAGATAGTTACCGGGGACGACACCTGACATGCCCGAGGCCAAGTTGCGGGCGGTGCACCAGCCGTCGTCGTACTCTTCGAGGACCTCCACCCGGTCGCCAGCGGAACAAGTCAGCTCGTCGGGACCTTTGCCACTGAACGCGTACCGCATAGTGCGGATCATGGCCGGGGCAGCAGTCGCGTCGGGGGCCGGGGCGGGGCGAGTCGGGGCCGCCATGGTTGAGAGTGACATGGTGCCCGGCGAAGCGCCCATGCCACTCCAGGAGACCATCTCGAGAACAGCAGCGTCGTCAACGTTGTAACTTGCGGGCTTGGAGCGGCGCGAGCGGACAACAAGGATGATGACAACGGCAACGAGGAGGACAACAAGAGCGCCGCCACCGGCCATGACGTACAGCATGGTGCCAGAGAAGGCAGACGGCGAGTCGCTCGAGTCTTGCTGGCCAAGTGCACCAGCGCCGGCGGTGGCCGCACCACTCGATGATTCTGGAGCCGGCGGCGATGGGGTGGGGGCCGGGGTGGTGGGAGGAGCCGGCGGCGATGGGGTCGGGGTCGGGGCCGGGGTCGGGGCCGGGGTTGGGGTTGGGGTCGGGGTCGGGGTTGGGGTCGGGGTCGGGGCCGGGGTTGGGGTTGGGGTTGGAGTCGGGGCCGGAGTAGGTGCGGGGGTGGGCGCAGGGGT